GTGTGTATATATACATATATGTATGTATGTGTACATACACATATGTGTGTGTGTGTCTGTGTCTGTGTGTATGTATGTATTTCCACTTAAGAGCAGAAAGAAGTAAAGTGTTTCCTCAGCTGAGGATCATTTAACACAGTGCCTAAATGCACCATGCAGAGATGATTTACTTGGGTTACATTCCAGGTTGGTTAACCCATCTGTTATGACTTAGGAAGACCTGATTTTTCATCTGTGAAATGGGATGATATTTTCCTCTGAAGGCTGAGCTCAAGGCTGACCTAGTTCATCTAGTAAACAGCTGGAACACTGCCCTGCATGAGGGATGTTGAAGAGTGGCTAGGTGTTCTCAACCTCTCCCCTCGTCTTGAGTTCTTTTCTGCCACACAAGATTTCACTGCACATCTGTTTGGTACCTGTGAAGCATGTTTTTTTCTAATTCCTGTCTGTTCTTCCTTAATTGAGTTGAGTCTTAAGGTTAATGCATCTTCATTGATGTATTCTCATGGAGACAATTCTGGCCCCAGTGCAGCCCGTTGGGTGACCTAAGCCTCTTTGGACTTTCATCCCTCCTCTCTGTAATGGGGATATCACCATAGGGCCTCTTTCTGTGCTTGGATTGTTAACAAAATGGGCACAGATAGTAATTTGTAAATGTAAAGAGTCAAGAGGTACTTAGTAATTGAAATAAGGCTGTCCTGAAAGACAAGCCATTTGTTTGAAAATCCATCAAATCCAAGAATGGAAACTCAGATAGTGACCTAGGCAAGCAGACCTCTGACCAAGGGAGCTCTGCCAGGGCTGCCCTAGCAAGCTGGGGGAACCAAGGGGAGTAGACCCATTGGCTGGTGTCATGGCAACCCTTTCAGAAGAGACTTGCCTGCGGCTATGTCTATACAAGCCTCTGAAAAGTAAAACATTCAATCAATGAGCTGCATTGTCCTCTCAACACTTGAGCCGATCAATGTGGCTGATCTCCTCACTGAATTAATTGGGTCACTCTTCTGTGATGTGGCTGTAGGGATTTTGTGTGTTTTTCCTATTATAGAAATAGTCGAGTTAATCTCCAGTCTGTATTTAGCTTCACGTTTGACCTCTGCCACCTCTCTGTTAGAAAGGGCAAGAAGAGGAACCTAGCAGAGTGAGAATAACCTCTAAGTGTCTGGTCTATTGCTGCTGTTCAGGCTTGCTTCTGGGAAAGCACTGAGCAGCCTGGTGGCACATGAATATCAATTTCTTCCTCTACAAAGTGCAACTAATAAGTACTTCATTTTAGGGTTGCTTTGATGACCAAAAAGACATAATAGAGTATGATATAAAGTAAGTAACTAACTGCTGTCTGCCTGAACCCTCTTCCTCTGGGGAGATAAAGGCTGCATTTCAGAAGTTAGATCCGCCACAAGTGTGCCTTTGTGATAATTTTGGACACTTGAGACTTGGGAGATGCGGTAGACAGTTCCCCAGGCCAGGTGGTTTCCAAGACAGTGATACCATGGCAGGAGAGCCAAGCCACCAAGGAAAGACATGTTAGTTACCAGTTAGTCTAGACAACTCTATTCTTGTCCTGGTCCTTCTCTGCTGGTTAGTTCTCCGCTCTTCTTGGGCAACTAGGCTATTAACTTGCCCTATTAGTGAGACAGTAGAAGAGTGCTATATCCATCCTCCAGACTTTGCTTGAAGCTCTGCTGCAGGGAGGCATTGGGCAGTCCTTAGATGACATGTGCTTTGGAATCAGTGAAAGGGATCATGGTATACCAGATGACCAGTGGTCTAACGACCAGAGACCAGATGTGAAGAAGAGTTGCCTGGTCCAAGATAAAGTGAGTGTGACTTAGGCAAGACAGTGAGTGTTAACTAACTTACTTTCCCTCTCTTCAACAGTGTGCTTTCAAATATGGTCTGCTGACTGGTTCTAGAACCACCAGGGAAGTTGTTAGAGTGGTGGTTCTCAACCTATGGGCCTCAACCCCCTTCACAGGAGTCCCATATCAAATACCCTGTGCATCAGATATTTACATTACGATTCATAAGAGTGGCAAAATTACAGCTATGAAGTAGCATCAAAATGACTTTATAGTTGGAGATCACCACACATGAGGAACTGTATTAAAGTGTCATAGCATTAGGAAGGTTGAGAACCACTGAGTTAGAGGTAGGATTCAGGGCCTCTAGGCTCTATGAATCAGTATCTTGGGGTAAAGAACAGGAGTCCATTGTTACTAGCACTCCTGTCCTGGTGATTTAATGGCTTGCTAAGTCTGAGACACACAGGCTTACTTGCTCTTTAGTCTAAATGTAGATCTTTAAAATGAAAAGAAAAAAAAAGATGAAATTAAATGGCTCTACAGTATTTATAACATTCTCATTTGAAAATAAAAATGATCAAGTTTAGGAACCTGTCCTTTATTATTGGCCTGGAGAATCCAAAGGTCATGGACATTTTTTCTTTGCAGATATTCCCAAGCTTAGATTTTATTATTCGCATATGTGTGCCTCCCAGTTCTGTTCCTGTTAGCCCAGCTAACCTGCCCAGGCTGTGGGTGTTTGTGCATCTTAGGACAGGGCTGCTGTGATAACCCCATCACCAAACAACACTCAACCAACCTCAGCACTTGAGACACAGTCCCAGCAAGTAAGAGTGAAGACACTCATCTTGTACCCAGATGCAAAGTCTCCGCTAATGTCATCACTGCATGCACTAACTCCCTGAGGAACAACCTCATAAGGTCAAGGCCATGTGTCTACCCACCTGGCACAGGTGCTGCACATCTGTTGGAACTGCTTTAGTGGATGCATCCTTTTGTTTCTAGCCCTTAAGTATACTTGGTAAGGAACATCCCCTGGTAAATGGGCTGCACCAGGGTGTTCACACCTCTGGGGGCAGAGGGATGGGTATGCTCTCATCAACTTATCTGCACTCAACTTGCTCTATTCTCAGTGTTAAGGCAATGGAGACTTCTTGTAGATTTGGGGTAGAGGGAAAAGAATAACTAATATTTAAGGTTTAAAAATGAAGATGAACACGCAGCCTCTAGTTACTTATTGATCTGGTCCTGGGTTATTTTTCAAAAGCAAAGCAGCCAGCTGTGTTGACACTTTATCATCCTATCAGTGTACCGTAGCCCGATGGGCACTACAGGCAATAAATCAGAGGTGACTTGAGTGGATGTGTCCTTCCCCTCTAGTTACCTTTTATTTCTTCGAAAATTAATTCATAGTAAGCATGTCTGTCTGTTGGTTTAACCTTGGGAGTCAGGTAATTTTGAAGAATGTGCTTTGTCTACCTGTGGCATGGCAAGGGAACACTGAGGCAGGTCAAATTCTTATACAACTTCAGGCTAAATGATTAGTTGCCCAGTTTGATGTCTTAGTTCATTTTATGTTTCTATTACAAAATATCTAGTTCTGGGTGCCAAATAAAGACAACAGGTTTGGTTAGTCTACAGTTTTGGAGGGTAATGGTCCAAAGTCAGGTAGCCCCACCTGTTTGGCCATTGATGACGAGCCCCTTTGTGGCATCACAACACACCTGTGAGACAGACTTAACCTGATGGCTTTTAAAAGGGATACCATGGTAGGACAAAAAACCATGGAACTCAGTGGTCAGGCCACTCTTTATAATAACCCACTCTTAAGGGAACTAACCAGGGTGCTGTGAGAATGACATTAATCTGTTCTAAGGGTCTTGCCCATCACCCAGGGACCAGATGAACTCCAATTAAGCCAGCCTCTTAGTATTTCCACCTCCTCTCAGATGAGGTCACTAGGGGCCAAGCTCCTAACTAATGAACTCTTTGGGAAGACACTCAAACCATATCCAAAACACAGCATGAGAAGTCCTGGGTCATGTATGACTAGGAAAGAATATTCATGTATGATATGATGGAACATCCATGTGGTTCACACAACTGGCAGATAAAATTCCTTGTGATAGGTTCTTTGTACCCTTGTTACTTTGCAGCCAATGTCAATACAAAAATATCCTAGAACTAACCTAGCCTGTCTCAGTTCTATATAGCAGTTACTCAGACTTCCACTGGGAGAGCACACAAACATGTGTGCTCATTTACCAACTAAAACAGCAGGAGAGAACCTCACCAGTTAAATCCACCATGCTCCTCTGCATCTGAGATAGTGGCTCCAACTTTTGCCAAATAGAACAAAAGGATTACCAAACGTAAACCGCCATCAGGATCAGAAATGGAAACGTGGGCACTGCAAGGTCTACTTGTCCAAACTCTTCCCGCAGGACATGTTTTTTCACGTTTTAGCTGAAGTAGCTAAATCCTTAAGCCCAGTGAATCAGCAAAGATGACTCACTTGCAGTCGGCCTTGGCAAGGAACTCTGAACCTCGACAGAGAGCAGCTCTGCCTCCTGGAGACACTTTGGGACGATGGGCAATTTCTGGGAGTCATGGAGTGTGACATTTCCCAGCCACGGCTCATCTCACTCCCAGTGTTTTGGAAGCCCCTGGATGTCCCTGTGCCCTAGAGAATTGAGAAGGCCTGCCATTCTATGCGAAGCACAGTCAGCAGATCCTCACTGGCATCTCGGCTCTGCGTCTTCTCTGGTGTCGTTTTTTTTACCTGTCGAGTAGATGTGATTCAGTCTACACAGTCTTCACAGTCGAGAGCCTCTGCATCGATACTTACCAATACTTTTACATCTATGGAGAGTCCCAGGACAGCAACGTCATTAGTCGTTTTCAGTCTCCACCCCTAATTTCCAGACTGTGAAAGCTGCTCTCCCCTGGGTGGAGGAGGAGTAACCCAGAAGGTTTGGGAAGTGAGGAAGCTTTTAATGGCATCACTGAGAAGCCTGATTCAGTAGGACCAAATACCCAGCAATGGTGTGGGCAGGTTGCTGGTAAGTGAAGATCTAAAAATCTCCTCATCAAAGCCTTTTATAGCAGCATTAAGCCAGGAGCCTCAAGAAATGACACAGGTCAAGTCCACGCATTGAAAATCTGGTGAGATTGCTGACAGCTACCTTCATTCCCAGGGACTCTGAAAAGAAGAAGAGCAACGAGAAATCAACCTCTCTGTCTCCCAGGGAAGCTGAAGTTCTGTTTGATTTCCATGAAGCTCCCTGGAACTGCCTCTGTACCTAACATGAAGCAGGAGTAGAGTAGGAAACTCAGCCCATCCAAATCAGTCAGCGTGAAAGTCACGGAAGAGTCAGCCTCAAACTGTTGGAGCTCAATTTGTCATTAGTACCATTGGCCTGTTAATGTCATTCTCCCATTCTCCATCTCTTGGCTCAAGCACATGTCTTAGGAACTGTTTAGAACCAGACTCTAAAACAAGAATTTGGGTGTCCATGACTTTCTAAGGAAGTCCTAGGAGACAGCAGTAGAGTTGGTCTTCAGGGAACGAGAGGAAAACGCAACCTGTGGTTGACCTTCAGACAAAGGCCTGGCCCCAGCTTGACCCCACATGAGAACTCTGGAGCCTGGATCATCCCTCCCAGTCTGTTCCCTTGTGGATGCAGGGGCTGGGCCTTCTGTATGACTGAACTCTCAGTGGTGAGCCTTCCTGATGTTCTGTAAGCTCTGGGAAGACTCTGGGCATTCTGTAGCTGGCATCCTCAGAGAGTCCTCCAGAGAAAGCTCAGGCATAGCCCTTAGAAGTAAAAGAATGCAGACACCGAGGAATGGCACCTGGGATCATTATGCAGGGTCAGATGGCATTTGGACAATGCTCTAAAAAGTCCACTGCCATTTCAAGGCCAACCTTCATGCTTCAAACTATCCTGTCTTCCTCTTTCCTCATTGAACAGTCACATATCAGAGCAAAATAGAGAGCTGTCATGTTCCCTTCTGCCCAGACGCACCAGTAGTTTTACCCATGCTCTGTCTCATGTGCATCATGATCCATATCATATGCATGAGCCCATCCATGACCTTGCAGCCCAATCTCAACCCCATGCACTCACTGAGTCTTTTCTCCTCTTGCTAGGTGTCCACATTATCACAACACAATAACCGAAATCTCCTGAGTGCCCGTCTGTGTGCTCTAGTTTATGTACTTTACCTGGTTTAGCTCATTTAGTGCTCACAACAAGCTCATCATTCAGTCAAAATTATCATTCTCATTTTACAGAGAGGACAACAGACACAACACGATGGTTCGTCTTCCTCTGCTAGTCAAGTATGCCCTGCTATGCCAGCCAGTGGACTCATCATTCCTTGGCATATAGTATGATATATACTGTCATACTGTCATCAGACAAGTAATTAGCATAGGAAACAGAAGCTGTGTGGTGGTTCCAGCGGTCGAGTGGAAGGAGGAAGAAAGTCAGATCAGTCTGATTTCACCCCCACAGTAGCCGCCTTCAACAAAGGGATAAACACAGTTGTGATGAGTCTTCCTCTAGATAGCAATAAAGTGCTTTTAAGGGCTCATGCTAGAAAATGGAAAACCATAGATGACATAGATATACATCTGCATCAAATCTTGCTCCCTCTATAACCCATTCTTTGCATGGAAGGGAGAATGCTTTTTAACTTTTCTACAGAACAACATGAGGATATCAGTATCTTGCACTGAAAATTTTTTAGTTTCTCAAAAATGGTCTCAAAGTGAATGAGGATGCCGAGACCCTGAGGAATTGCCCCTGCATTTTCTCCCAGCTCATCTGTCATCAGGATCCTGGTCCCCATCCTGTCATGCAGACCTGCTTAAGTGCCTGGAAGGGATGTTCCCTGCCTCTATACCCTCAGCCCATCTCTCCCTGTCCTCTGGAATGTTCATGTGCTCTGCCTCATCTATGTCACCTGAAACTGAGTTCACCACACCTGCTCCTCATGCCTCACTTCATATACCCTGCATTATTGCAAGATGTAGTGATCCTTCATACTGTGACAAGAGTCACACATGCATGTTCCCCTAACTCCAGGTACAGTCACTCCTTGGTCTCCATAGGGGCTTGATTCCAGGACTCCCTACAGACACCAAAATCTGCAGACTTGCAAACCTTTTCTGTAAAATATTTGCATGCAATCTGTATACCTTCTTCCATATACTTTAAATCATCTCTAAATTAGTTACAACATCTAAAATTACATAAATGTTATGTAAATAGTTGTTAGTCTATGTTTCTTAGGAATAACAGCAAAAAAAGTTTGTAGATATTCAAAACAGACACTGTCTTTTTAAAAGAGTATATTTCAGTGTGTGGCTGGTTAAACACATAGATACAGAATCTTTGGAACTGAAAGACTGACTGCATTTACCCATGCTGCTGCATTTATTTCACTGCCTTGCATAGTTTTAGCCTAAAGGAACAAGACAGAAGGAGTTATTAATGACACTGACCTGGGGAGCTGTAGCAAACTCTTTACAGCAGAGACCGTGCCATTTGTTATCAACACTATGAAGAAAAACAGGCATATAGTCATCCAATTTGTATGTAACAGTTAATCATCTGGGGTTAGCAGAATGCTAGCTGTGGAAGGAAAATAGAGTTCACTTTTCAGAGATTAGGGAATGATTTCATCCTAAAGCTGAAATGTATTATGGCAAATGCCAGGTCATCCTCCAAAAAAACACCACTCTATTACCAAAACAGGACGCTGAGCAGAAATGCGGTGCGGAAACGCTTAAGATGCAGAACTAGCCAAGAGACAAATGTGAGTCAGCAATGAAGCACCATTACATAAAGAAATCACAGGGAAATTCATGTTTCCCAGACGCATTAAATGAGCTCTGATGTATTCAGCCGGGAAGGGAATTTTACCTTCGCCGTGGCCTGAGCATCTACTTTCTGTCACCCAGTCACGGGCTAATGAAATATGTTTGAGGGGAAATACTGGAGCAAATGAGACAATGTAGCAGAGGCTATAGGAAGGGGCTGTGGGCCCAAACAAGGCAGTCACATTACACTTTAACCTGTGTTCCAATTAACAACCGCTGTGTTAATGAGCACTGTCTCATTCAGATTTTATAACTTACAGGTTAAATATTATTATTGCTCTCATAAGATTTTTTAAAACAAGAAGGTAGAATTGCTCTTTTATGTTAGGAAAAGGCCAAAGAGAGCTTAAAATTCTAGTTAACAAATCACTTTTCTCCCAAAGATTTTTTTTTTTTTTTTTAGGGAAATTCTTACTCATAGAGAAGAAAAATAATTCTGGTCTAAGCCTAGGACCAAGCCCATGGCCTAATTGTCATGAGCTATAACAGTTAAGTGACTGAGGTGAATGGATATATAAATGCAGACAGCCATAAAGTGTTTCGATGAGTTATTGCTAAGGTTGTAAAACATCTCTCCCTAAGAAGAAAATGGTTAATCTTCTGCCGGGCAGAGTCAAAAGAATCAGCTCTGCAGTTTTGATGTTTAAATGCTTGTCAGTAAAATATCTATTGATAATATACACAAAATAGGAACATTTCTTTATTTAAAATTGCATGTATGTTATATACAGTTAAATGTTATCCAACATTTACAAAAAGTAATTTGAAAATATACACCAAGTATAGACAAATATGATTTCAGGATTTTCCCCCCTCTATCCCAATAGAAAGGTTTTCATGGTGTCAAAGTGACATTGAAGACCACCAATTAAGACAACTTCTAGCTGAGGATTCCTTGGAGCTTGAAGAAGTAAGAGAGTATAAAGTGATGGGAAGGACTGAGAGAGAGAGATCTGGGCATTAGGAAGTCGTAAGATTTATAACGTATGCCCAAGTCATCCTCTTTCCAGGCAGATGGAGTTCAGAGGCTCAGTGAACTCTCCACTCAGGCAGATCAAATTGAGGTTCATATCAAGAGTGTGAGGGGATATCTTGTAACCCAGATGGCTCTATATGAAGTCAAGATTCTATGTGAAGCAAATTCCCTAAATTCCCTAATGAGGTCTGGGAGCAGAAGAAAAGACATGATATGGAGCTTCGTAGGACCGTTGATGCATGATATGTGACATAAATGAACGCAATTTCTCTAGTGTACAGTTGCTCTTCAATGCACATGCCACTGATACTCCAACTCAGAAGTGCCCTTTAACTAAAAATGACTGGTAGAATATTTGCCTGAAGGCGTGTGTGTGTGTGTGTGTGTGTGTGTGTGTGTGTGTGTGTGTGTTCTTTGTTTAGGGAATAGCCTCGAGTTTTTTTTTTCTCCAAGTCTTTGAGAAGCTGATAGCTTTTCATTCATAGGTTTCCTTGTTGAAGACAAGTGAGTAACCAACAGCACAGATTCCACAGGGTGTGGCACTGGCACACTCATTTATCAGTGTTGACATCTGTCACTCTGGTGATGGTTATTGGGTTTAGGGGAGGGGGAAGAATAATCAAATGAAAATCGGTTCATCTCTTTGACTTGATCGTTCTCAGATTCACTTTTAACAAATGCCGCCATAGGAAGTGTCTAGTTTTAAAGGCACGCCACCTAGAGTATTTAAGTTTGCTCAGTAAATAACACCATTCTGGTGGCATGAAGTAATTAGTCAACCAGTTGACCATATTGACCTATGTTCCAGCATTTTTTTAGTCTGATCAGTGATAAAAGCTCAGCTCTGCTTCTGTCCACTAAATTTTCTAAGTCAACTTATCTTTCATTTCAGCAGTTGCTATTTCCCATGACAGTCATGTGCTCATAACATTTTGGTTGATAACATATTACATAAGTGGACCTGTGGAATTATAATGAAGCTGAAAAATTCTATTGCTGAGGGATATCTTAGACAAGAGAATATCTTGATGTAATGTATTTAGTGTTTGCAGTATAACCAAACCCACTTGCTGCCACTTGTATAACCGTCAATATAATAGCTACATTACTATGTTAGTCTGTGCACTTATGATAGTATTTCTAGTTATTTTATATTATTCTCCTCCAATGCATGTGTCTTCTACTTTTACTGTAAAACAGTATGCCATGTTCTACCAACTGCAGCTTACAACATTTCTTGATTGCATCCTTTTCCCTTTGCTGGTTTTAATCATACGTTGTTTGGTTCATCAAAGCCTTAGGAGAAGTAGGTTTGATTCTGAATGACCCCCAAAGGTGCTGCTCACGTGTTTAGGATGTGTGGCCTTGCTGGAGGAAGTACGTCACTGAGGGTGGGCTTTTAGAACTAAAATCTAGTTCGCTCTCTGCTTTGTGCTTATGGTTCAAGATGTGAGCTCTTGGCTTCTGTTCCTGTTGCCATATCTGCTGTGCTGCCATGATGGATTTCTACCTGCCTGGAACAGAAGCCCAAATAAAACCTTCCTCCTTTATGTTACCTTGTCATAATGTTTTGTCACAGCAGCAAAAAAAAAAAAAAGTAGCTAATACAGATACATTTCTTAAGATATTTCTGTCATTAATCAATGTATAACTACAAGTCTCATCGAGATGATCTGAGAATATATGCTGTGACGTCTAGCCAAATGCTGAATACATAGTAAGTGTTCTGTAAGTGCTAGCTCTCCTCTCATCTCCATTGAAGTATTTCAAATTTCTATTTTGTGCTAGTTTGGGCTTCCCACACAGCTGTAAGGAATACTAGAAAATCCCTGTATAAAGCAGGAAGGAACAATATTAAGTCAGTAGGCCAGCCTAGCTGAAAGTCTCATTTCACCATCTTTCAGTTCCTGAACATAGCGTCATCTCTTGATTTCTTCAGGTTTTTGTGTTTCCTTCATATTCTATTTTTACTTTTGACAAATAGATTTTATGTAGATTTTGTTAAATTCACCCATTTCAGTTCTCAGTTATAAATAATAGTTTTTTATTTGTAGTATTCACATATTTGATTTTAATTATGTAGAAATAAGATTGCCTTTTGTGTATTGATAATGATCATATGACTCAACTAACTATTCTAGAAATTTTGTAGCTCCTTGGAGATTGTCTATGTAGACAGTCATCTCCTCTGCCAGCAGGGGCAATTTCATTTCTTCCTGACCACTTGGCATGCGTTTCATTTCCTTTTCTTGCCTTGTGGAAGTGACTGGAACTCCCATTCTACATGAATATGACTGCTCAGAGCAGCGCATTATCCCATAATAGTCTTTTATGTTATGCATGTTAACTGTTGGAGTTTTATAGACGTACATACCAAACTAAGGAAGTTTCCCTTCATTCCTACTATACTGAAGGTTTTTGAGACCATAAATTGGTGCTAGACTTTGTCAAATGCTTTTTCTATATTTATTGATTGTGTGATTTTTTTTTCTTTAGCCTTATGGTATAGTATATTATACTGATTTATTTTTGAATATGTAACCAGATTTGCATACTTAGAATAAATTCCACGTGGTCATGGTGCATAATTTGCTTGTATATTTCAGGCTTTGATTTACTGAACTTTTGTGGATTTTTGCATCTTCACTTTATGAGAAATATTGGTCTGTAGTTTTGTTTTGTTGTGCTGTGTACTATCTTTGTTTGTGACAATATAACAATGCCAATCTCATGAATCAGTGGTGATGTGTCCCTCTGTACCTCTGTGAGAGATTTTGTACAACTGGTGTTAACTCTTCTCTAAAGGTCAGTAGAAGTCCTTAGAGTTCACTCCTGGCTCCACCAGAGGCCATTTGATTAAACATTCCATTACATTAAAGCTTGAGAGACTATTTTGTTTGTGTGTTTCATTTTGATGAAGTTCAGCAGCCTGTAATTTTGAACTCTACTCATTCTAAATTGTAGTATTTATGAATACAAAGTTTTGGATTCTTTTATGGTAGACTAGGTAACGAGCCCCAGAGTAACCCATGTCCTAATTTCAGGAACCAATAAATGGTAATACCTTATATGCAATGAGCTGCCTTACAGATGCGGGGAATTTAAAGTGTTTGAAATGGAAAGGTTACCCTGGAGGGTAGTACATGCAATCACAGGCGTCCTTAAAGTAAGGAATATGTAGACAATTTGGCAAGTAGAAGACAATGTGATAACCTAAGTAAGCTTTCACGGTGGAAGAAAGGGCCATGAGACAAGGAATGGAGGGAATGAAGGCAAAGAAACCAGAAGATGGCAAGGGACTGTATCCTTCCCTCCAGTGAGAAGTGTGGAGAACCCATCTAAGGTCTGGATCTCCAGAACTGTAAGAGAGTAATTGTGTCCTGCTTTAATATGTGCTCAGAACTCATGGTAAGTTAGCAGCAGTGGCCATTGGGAAGGAATACACCCTCACTGGAATGTGTTCGGTGTGGATCCAGTGGGATTTTAGTGATGTACTTGTGGTGTTGATGACGGATGTCTTATCCCCTGGGTGTTTGTTAGTCTTGCTAGCATCTTGTTAAGCTCATTGATATTTGTAGAAAGTGGTTTATTACTTATTTAAATAAATAAATTTATTTATTTATTTGTTTGTTTCTTTGTTTGTTTCTTTGTTTGTTTGGTTTTTCAAGACAGGGTTTCCCCTGTGTAGTTTTGGTGCATGTCCTGAATCTTGCTCTGTAGACCAGGCTGGCCTTGAACTCACAGAGATCCACCTGGCTCTGCCTCCCAAGTGCTGGGATTAAAGGCGTGTGCCACCACTACGCGGCTACTTATTTAATTTTATATATCACTTTTCTACCTTCAATTTCATTGATTTTTATTTCTCTTTTGGGTGTTTTATGCTTGTTTTGGGATTTATTTTGTTTCTGTTTTCCTAGTTCTTGAGATAGTAAAAGAGAGAAATTGGTTTCAGGCATTTCTTCATTTATATTGTGAATGTTTGTTTCTATAACATCCCCTTTTCTTGCTGGCTCCCACCACATCCCACACAGTTTGATATGATTTATTTGTTTTTATTCAGTTCTGTGTCTTCAATTCTTCTTCCTTTGAGTTTTACTATTTGAGCATGGATTATTTGGAAGTCTGTTGTTTAAGTTTCAATTATTTGGAGGTTTTTCCCTCATCTTTCATTTATTGCCTTCTGGTTTCATCCCATTGTAGTCAAAGAAACCATCCTCCATTTTTGTAGAAACTTAGGTTATAGTGAAAATACAGTCTATGTTGAGGTGGGTCCCGGCAGTACTACTTCAAAAGTGCAGCCTGGGATTCTGGAGTAGGGCACTCACTCTACATCTCTTGGATCCTGCAGGTTGATTCAGATTTCACAGAACTTGGTTGACGCTCAGTGTCCTGTCAGTCGCCAAGAAGAGGCGTTGACATCTTCAACTGTAACCACACATTCGTTTTTCTGTTCCGCTCTATCAGTTCTGAGTTCAGGTTGCTTGCTGGGGCCACACTTACCATTGTATCTTCCTCGTGACTAATCCCTCGTTATCTCTAGAAAACCTCATGGTTCCCAGCTGGAGATTCCTGCAGTTCACTATGAAGAATGTGGTAGAAAACAAGAAAAAATAGGGAACTTGCCACCTAGTGAGTCCTGAGTCCTGATGTCCCTTGCTGTCTGCCTTCTTTGTAGTCCCTGTCCAAGCTACTCTAGAAAAACACCAGGAGGATGGAGCAACTAAGGGCATGAATGGGGCAATGCTGAGGTCACAGCTTTTTTCAGATCCCCAAGAAAAGAGAAGGCGCATCAACAGCTTGGTATTGGCCTTAGTGTTGGATTCCAGTTGCCTGGTCCCTGCTCCTGAAATGGCAGAAGAATGTTGTGTCTCCTAAACATGAGGACCAATGTGTGGGGGATGTGTCTTAAGATATCACAGTTGGCTTCTCAAAGACATGCTCCTGACTGGGCCTTATAAAGTCTCAATGACTTGACTGGACCTGGGAAGAGTAACCTCTCCCAAGCCAGAAAGGGTTTATTAGGTATTCAATTGCCATAAAAGACACTCGACATATGAATATACATAATACTTGGTTGCTTAGAAAGAAGCACCTCGTGAGCAGAGCTTGTGACTGAGATCTGAAGTTGGCAGCAAGGGGACTGAACCTGTAACTCGGGGAATCTGTGCTAGGACTGGCTAACGCTCCACAACAGGACATCAAAAGGCATGGTCGCAGTCAAGTGCCTATCCTTAGGCACAGGTCAACCACCTCAGTAGGTACAGTGGCAGTGTTAGGCATGTTTTAACTAAACCACAGGCTGAGTAAGAGTTGGAAATTCCATCCAGGTTGCCAGTGTGAATAAGAATTGCATCTGACCAAAGGTTAAAACTTTTGCCTAGCCATAGTGATGCAGGCCTGTCTGTCGTCCCAGCTACTCAGTGGGCTGAGATTTAAAAAAAAAAAATCACAAATTTGAGCCCTGCACAAGCAACTTAGTGAGACCCTATTTCAAAGAGTATTGTAAAAGGCTTGGGATGAAGAACAGTGTGAGAGCTTTTGCATGGCAGACCCCAGGTTCCTGCGGATATTGCTTTGCTCCCCAGACACATGCAGATGAGAAACGGGTTTGACTGAACAGCCAGAGAACTGAGACACAGGGGTGTTCTGAAAATGGGCTGTGATGATGGTTGCACAGTTTTAAAATTTACTAAAACATCATCATAAACTGTAAGAGTAAAAATAAAATTATAGAAGTAAAAGTGAAGAATCACAATACAATTGAGCGTCAAAGCACCATAGGTAGTCTGCTCCATTGTGGATTGAGGGATTTGAAAACTTTAATTCTACCCTGAAAATATTACTTTGATCGCATCCGGATCTAAATAAAACCATAAGGATTCGGGAATGTGCCTCTCTGTCCCTGGTGAAATTTTCTCCTTCCAGCAGGGATTGTGGTCATTTCCTAAATTTTCTTACCTCAAATTTCTCAGCAAGTTGGCCCTGTCTCCCTTGGCTAGAGCACTCTCCGGGCTCCCACCCCTGCAATTACCCAATGTCCTGGGCATAGCCACAAATCTGTTGTGATTTCACATGTGTGGACATCAAGAACATCTTATGAAGACCGGGTGTGGAGGCAGGCACATGCCTTTAACCCCAGCACTTGGGAGATAGAGGCAGGTGGATCTCTGAGTTTGAGCCCAACCTGGTCTACAGGGTGGATTCCAGGACAGCCAGGGCTACACAGAGAAACCCTGTCTCAAAAAAACAAACAAACAAAAGAAAACGAACAAACAAAACACCCAAAGAACATCACATGGTCAAAGCTGAGTTTCTCTTTGACCTCGATGGTCAAAGGAGACATTCTTTTACTCCACTGTGGTTTGTGGTTTCCCCCAGCAACTCTGTACCAGGGACGTGGAGGAGAACCTGGTCTACGTGGTTCTGTCCACTGTGGCCCTGCCAGCTGATGGTGCCTATAGTATAGTATAGGCCCACAACCCGGTCCTCCACACCACGCATTACAGGCACAAATCTCCTATGAACATTTCTAGCTGGTCTTTCCTTGTTAATAAAGTCACCAATTGTTTTTTTCACCTCATCCATATCCAGGCTGGGCTGTGAGCTATGTGGACATACTGTGATTAAATGGTGACTGAGCACTGGTCAAACCGTGAGTGGTGATGGCGGTGAGTGGTGGACATACAGGCTTCGGAGTTCATTTTTAGTTCTGAACAACTTAGCTTGTGGCCCAGAGACTTGGTTTGACAGATTCTTTCCAAGGCTTGCAGTCACCTTGCCGGAGTGTGCCCCAGGGCTTCTCACATACTCTTGTTGAATATTGTAATATTCCTTCCACTCCAAACAGTGTCTGCCCCAAAAGCAGTCTGGCAGGCGTAGGACTCTGACTCTTTCAGCCTTCTGCTCCTGCTCAGCTCCTCGTTTGGTCGAGAATCATGGACAGGTGTATGGCTGGGCCAACCACTGACCTGACGACGGGCTCAAAGCCAGGTTAATGTTTCCATGAGTCACCTAACTGATACAGAACACAGCATTTCCCCTAGAGCATTGCATGATAGGAGCCCTCATTGGTGTTCAGGGAAACAGGAGGATTTCATCCCGATCTCGTCAGTCACCAGCATCTTACAGCTCTCCAATGGGAATAGTTTTCACCCTGGGAATTGTAGGCCAGGCAGTGAGCCGGGGTAATGCTGTAATGAGCCTTTGGGAGTAGATACTTTGAGAGAGTTTTTCTCTCAGGCTCTTTCAAAGCAAGTGAATAAAAGCAAGAGTGACCTAATGCAAACTGTCTTTTCTGTCTCTGACTCCATTGCCACTCTCTCAAGGTCATCTGGTGCATCTACACCACTTTTTTTTTTTTAGGGGAGATTTATTTTATTTAATTAAAATATAATTATACCATTTCTTCCATAAGTAATATATCACTAAGTATATTAGTAAAATATAATTGTACTACTTCTCCCTTGCCTGACTTCCTTTTCTTGTTTTTCCTCTGCTCCTCCACATAAATGAATCAACATATAAACTCGACCTGTTGAGTCTGCTCAGTGTTGTGCATGTTTCTAAGTCTAAGCACTAAATATTGGATAGCCAACCAGGGAGTTCATCCATGGTTAATGCTAATTAATTCTCCCTCCCTGCACTTGTTAATTTTCTATATCTCTTCATTGGGCGGGTGGGACCCCGTGAGATTTCCACATCTATGTTGGGATGTTAGCTATTACTGGAGTTATTCAGGTTTTGCTGAGGCAGCCATGTTGTTGAGATTTCATGGGTATAGCTTCCCTGTCATAGCTAGAAGGCATAACCCACAGCAGCCTGCCTGGTCCTCTTACTCATGATCCTTCTGTTACCTTTTCCTCCGTGGTCCCTTAGCCTGGAGTATCACTTTTGGTAGTCTCCATCAGTGACACACACTTCAGCCCAGTAATCCAGCCAGTGCCTAACGAAAGTCCCAGAGAGTACACAAATCACAGGGCTTTCTTACAATACCTAGGAAGTGTGCAGTGTTCAGCAAATACTAACTGGGATGCTGTCTGAGCAGAAAGGCTAGGTTGCCAGCACAAGCAGATTATCCACCGAGTATGCACTGGATAAGCAGATTTGACAGAATGTGAATAGGGGTAGAAATCTTACCTTAAATTTAATTTGATGGCTCTTCATGCTGCCCATTTCATAGTTTCTTTTTGCTGGAATCAGACAAAAAAAATTCGGTTTCACAAACTTCGAAGTAACACGTTCATCCCAGTATCTTTGGGACCCTTCAGAGAAATGTCTTTGTGGTGTCTGCTGGGCTGCTCTGATTTGTACAGTAGTGTCCCTGTGAAGACTCTGTAGGCTGTGTACTAAAGTGGGTAAGATGAGTCACAACATGAAACCAAGGCCTCCTGGTGGAGAGTAGATTGAGGATTGTTGTACAGTGTTTTGTACACTGATTAAACCTAAGGTTTTTAGAATGGTATCAGAAGACTCAAAGTCATCCCATTAATAAAACAGGTCCCTTTTAACATCACAACAAATGTGTATGAATCATTTATACAATTTTTTTTCTGTCAAACGATGTTTGACAATAATCAGATGATAATGAAATGTATAATTAATAATAAAAATGCCAACATCTGTTAGCTTGTTATTACACACTGATTTTTTTCAGTGTACTATTTCAAATGTGTCACCATTAACCTAATTTATATTAAAAATCTGCTAAATACAATCTGTTGTCATTAGTTGTTAATTTGAGTTGGCACATGACACCACAGAGATGATTCCTCTCTGCTCACCACCCGACTTCTCACTCTGTTCTAACCCAAAAGCCCCTCAAATGTGTCTAAAATCAGCTGCCTCAGATGTCCTATCAGCAGATGGACCTGGCTAGCTGGCTGCTGCTATCAGCTGTGAATGATCAGTGCTTGAGACTGAAGCCGCAGCATTTGGTCGCAGAAGATGTCTGGCTCATGGTTGCAACCCCTTCTGGCTGTTCTTCTGTCCAGCCATCTGTATGTCTTCGACAGCTCCTTCATAGTCATGTACAGTGCCACCTGGGACCACGGCCACTGTTCCAGCAGGGAGGACATGGGCCCTGCTCACAGGAAGTGTGATCTTGTGTTTGGTTTTAACCTGTATAGACAGTAAGGCTCACTGAGGGCTTGAGTGCAGATCCTTTCCAATAGATGGCTTCTGGTGACCATTTTCCACACATGGAAAACCCATCTGCAGTGTTAGTTTGGTGTGCCTTCCAAAGCCAGAAAGTGAGGGAACAGTCAAAAGAAACACAGCGCTGTGGTGCGCCAAAGGAACACCAGACATGACTGGAGAAGACTCCAATGGCCAAAACTGGATCAACTTAAGAAAGAAAATAGAGGAGTAAGCAATCCACAAATCGATAATGCTAGAGACAAATGATTGATGACACTAATACATGGGAAATAAATAAGAGCCCAACAACCATGCAGAATATTTGAAATGATTTGCGCATGTTCACCACTCCTGGGGAGTGGGCAGAAGTCCCCACTCTTTCCCATGGCTAAGCACAATAGCTTCCTTTCAGAGAGCACAGCATGGAAGTGGGAAAAAGGTAACACAATGGTTTAGAGACCAGCTGAGCTCTTCCTCTGCCAGACAATCAAGGCCAACGTTAGCAGTAGTGCATCATATCAGTGCTGAGTAACTGACATGACATGATGCAAATGTACCTTGAATGTGGGGTTGGTCTTTCTGCCAAAAGCTCATGGTCGCCATCTTTTTTTTCCCTGACCTTAATAGAAAAAGGAACAGATATTCTAATAACAAAATTAAATATTGATGAACTTGACTTTTTATTTTTTTAGTCCTAGTCTTATAATGATAAAAGTATATAAATTTTAAAGGAGGGACTTTTTCCTTTAAAAAAGTTACTGGATTTATTCAGTGTGTGTGTGTGTGTGTGTGTGTGTGTGTGTGTGTGTGTGTGTGATGCTTGTGCATGCACGTGCACATGGTTCTTATGTGGGGGCAGAGGACAACTGGAGGGGGTCGGTTCATTCTTTCCACCCCATGAGTCCTAGAGAGCAAACTCTCGTCCTGAGGCTTGGGGGAAAGCACCTTTGCCCACTGAGTCATCTCACCAGCCCAAGAGATATATTTAAACAAAAAAATTCTGAAATAAGTATTCTTCAAAAACTGGTAAGGTCATCAAAATAAGGAAAAGGAGAATAGCAAAGGCTAGAACTCGAACACAAAACCACTGCATGTGACCTTGTGTCCAGGACGAGATCTTAGAGCAGAGAAAGATGAGGTAAGAGGAGTGGACCTTTAGACTACAGATGTTGACTGGTAGCCACACCTTAGAATCACGAATTACCAGTAAGGAATGCACTATGCTGCTGTAAGTTGTTACTGATAGGAAGGGAAGGTGCAGGTTATGTAGGAAGTGTTTGCAATGGTCTTCTAAAACTCCCTGCATGTAGAACATTGCTCCCAAAAAGTCTGTATTTTTAAAAGAACTCACAATTATTTTTCTTTTGTGTGTGTCTGAAAAACATTTTTAATTTTTTTAATTTATTCATTTATTTTATATCCCGACCAGAGTTTCCCCCTCCATTCTCTTCTCCCATTCCCTCCCCCCATTTTTCCTCCTCCCTGACCCCAATCCTCCTCTGTTTATATTCAGAAAGGGGCTTAGTCCTACTGCAACTTGATATGTCGTGCTTTGTTGATACCCATTTTTTTTCTTTTAAGAAATATTTGACATCAGAGGCAATTCCCTGTCAGCTAGCCGGAGCTGAGGCAAGACTGCTTGTATGATTCCTCACACCACTGGCAGGGAAAGCCCTGCACTTAGACTGGGCACAGGCAGCTTAAAGGGACAATAGATGGAGATATATAAGTAGTGTCCTGTTACCTTCAACATCTTGGTATCTTATGGATACCCCTGAGACCATGTCTGTCTTCCTGTGGAGTAGACCTGTGAAAGTGTCTGTCTAGAGCTCAGACAGTTGTCCTGTGTGCTAGTGAAACCGGTAAAGCCCAACAACCCTGATGGAGCTTCTGATGCATTTCGGACGTTTCCTAGCATGAAGGGGCTTATTAACAAGATGAAAGTTCTACTCGTATGTGGTTTAGTGAGTGTTTTGGAGTTTTTCTCCCTGTCTTATGAACTGAGGGTTATCAGTGAGCTTTCTGACTTGTCACCGCTTAGAGTTGGAGCAAAGTGAGGTTCCATAGTAAACTGAAGTGAGAGCTAACAAGTCGCAAAACATCCTAACTATGTGCACTCAAAGGAATGTGACATTCATGGTAAATATGGCCACAAGCAGTCTGGGAAGACGGCTGGAAATTACTTACCTTTCGTTTTACAGAGATTATTTCTGCAGCAGAAAGCAATAACCTTATTATACACCTCCACATTCCTTTATAATCAAGAAACCTCAGAGCCATTCACCAATTATTCTTCATATCTACAGGGCTCACATTTCTTGGTAAAGGAAGCCACTGGTGATAAAAACCCAGTTCTCAGCAGTCGACCTTTCAAAGCCAAGTTGCACGGAGCAGAGTTGGAAGAGGGGCCCTCTGGGTTAACACAACAGCCCCTCCTCTGCCTTGTACCCTTCCCACGGGACCAGCTGGCCAGGAACTGGGAGAAATAATGAATGGTCATGAAAAGCATCAGGGGTAGTGGGAGAAAAAACACTTCCAGAAATACCATGGCTTAGGCAGACATTGAGAATTCCCAGAAAATCTTCAAGATGCAAGGCTGAGAGAGAGTGGAAAGAGGTTTGTTGGCAGAGAACCTAACTGTGAAGCCTGGATAGCGATCAGTGGCTGCTACGTGAGGTCTTAGGACTCCTTTCCTTACTCTGCACACCACCTGTCTGTATTTGTTTGCATCATTTTCTCTCTGCTATTTTCTCTGCTGTGGACCACTGGCCTGAAGCTTCAACACCCCTCCCCCCAATAATCCCTAAACTAGATTAGACAACCCCCTGTGGTGGATAGGGTTGTGGGTGTGCTATGCGACAGAACAAACATTCTGTGCTGAAGTGGTTGGTTTCTCATCAGTTTCTCTGACTAGTCTTGATCACCAAGGTTCAGCACCATGGCTGGAGCAAGGTAGCTACTTAGCAAATGTTTTTTGAATGTGTCGTGATCTCTTTACCCAGTCTTCTTAGTAGAGCTAACCTATCTAACTAATAATGTCACTCAGCTCATTCTATAACTTAGAAACAATCTGATGACCATCATTGCTCGTGTATAGGATATGCTATGTCCTGATTAAAGTGGATTCTGAAGCATTCGGTGCTGCCAAAAAGCCCTAGTGAGATCCAACAGAAATAGAGCCTCTGGGCTAGAAAGAAACAGGGATCCCTACTGCTAACCCTCTCTTTACAGATGACTAACATGAGGCATAGAGTTTATGTACAGTATTGGTCATTCAGTGTCCAATACTCTTTCTTCACTCTGTCACCGTGTAAAAGGAATAAAGACAAGCATGTATACGCTCATATCATTGCTGAATACATGCTGTGTGTGTAGCTAGGTGCAGGCCGTGCACTCAAGGGCTTCTCTGTCTGGTTACTAAAGAAGTCAAACCCCCTTCCATGGAAATAATGCAACAATCCAAGGAGAGTTAGGAGGGAGTGATTCAATCAAGGGCCAATGAAAACACCTCAAAGGAAATGCTGCCATGGAGCAAAAGGCATGGGAGGAGGGGTCGGGAGGGGGGGAGGGGGGTAAGCATGAAAAGCTGGCCCAGAGGAAACTGCATTCCAGATAGAGAAAAAGCAGGCCAGAAAGGCAGGAGGCGTGGGGGCTGCATGTGGTGTCACCCTGTTCTCTTGTTGTAAAATACTTCCGCTGTGGAAAATGGGGAGGTCTCTAGATGGATCAAGAGAGACAGAGTGAGAGATGGAGTGGAAAAGGGGAGGAAGGAACAGACCAGGGCAACAATCGGAAGAAAGACAAAGGAAATGGACTCGGGGAGAATGAGAGGCAGAAACAAGGACAGGGACAAGGTTTATTCCATCATCCAAATGCCAGGAAGGATTCTCCATGCACCCAAGGAGGGAGACTGGAGTTGTGTCAGACTCTAACTGTAGGAGGATTGCTTTCTGTGGTTACCTCCCTTGCATCGACAAGTGGCCCAGCCACACACAACTGTGTGAAAAGGCTCATTGCTTTGCAGGTCTGACTACTCTTCTCTGATGGAGAACATATTTTGAACTAATTATTATGAAG